ATTTATAATTTTTTTAAAAATTACAAATTTTTAGCTTATAAGTAACCTTAAATTATTTATTATATAATTAAAAAATATAATTTACTATAATATTATATATATTTATAAATTAATTTAAAAAAAAAATTTTTTAAAAATTTTAATTTTTCATAAAAGTAATAAGAAGGAAATTTATAGTAAATAAGCAGACAAATTTGCCTGTAACCTTTACAGTTTAAGGGATAATTTAAATTTAACTAAATTTTTATTTTAATAATTTAGATTGTAAGTTATTTTTATTAATTATTAACGTTAATATTTAATTATAATTTTTATTATAATTTAAATTCAACTAAATTTTATTAATAATTAAAATATAATAGATAGTAAATTATTTTTATTGATTATTAGTATTTTATTATAATTTAAACTTAACAAAATTTTTTTTTAAAAAATTATTTAATAATTAATAATATAATAGATAATAAGTTATTTTTATTGATCATTAATATTTAATTATATATTTTACTAAAATTTAAACTTAACTAAATTTTTATTAAAAATATAAAATATTATTTAGGCAAGTAAGTTATTTTATTGATTATCAATATTTAATTATATTTTTTACAATAATTTAGTTTAATTAAAATTTTTATTTAAATATAAAATATTATTTAAATGGGTAAGTTATTTTTATTAATTGTTAATATTTGACTATACTTTTTATTATAATATAAATTTAACTAAATTTTTTATTTTAATAATTTAGATTGTAAGTTATTTTTATTAATTATTAATAATTAATTAAATTTTTACTATAATTTAAATTTAATTAAAATTTTTTATTTAAAAAAAATAATTAATAATTAATATTATAATAGATAATAAGTTATTTTTATTGAATATCAGTATTTAATTATATTTTTTACTATAATTTTAATTAAACTATATTATTAAAATATTAATTAATTATTAAAATTATAAATAGTATGTTAATTATTTATTTTAATTATACTTTTATTATAATTTAATTTAAAGTTATTAATATAAAAATATAATAAATTTATTAAATATATTAATATAATTAATTAGGTAAACATTATATTTTATTATTTAAGTTATAATAAATAATAATTATAATACTAAAAATATAAATTTTTTATAGAAAAAAGGAATATGCTTAAATTGTAATCAATAATCAAGGTATCTTTACATTGATATCTAAATAATCAATTTTAAATTGGATTATTTATTTGTTATTTGTTTTGAAATAGATGCTATTAATGAAAATATAGAAGATCGAACAAATGAATCAGTGAGTTATATAATGTATTTATAATTTATCAATTAGAATTATTATTTTTATTATTTTATAATATAGGAATACATAGTCGATGACTTGACAAAACAAATGGGAGTAAAATTAAATCTGGAATGAAAGGGTAATTTGTAATTTATTTTATTTTACAATCGATATCTTCACTTTTATTATCACCATTCACCATCGCCTACCTTTTCACCTCGCCTCTTTTTTACCATCATTACTTTATTTCTTTTATTACCAACATTCTTTCTTCTATTGTCATCATTATCCTTGCTTCCTTTATCACCATCATTAATTTCTTCCCTTTCTATTATCATCATCACCTTTGCTTCCTTTATCACAATCATTAACTTCGCCATTTTGCCTCATTATTACCTTCATTTCGTTTATCACCACCATTACCTTCGCCTTCTTTATCACCATAATTACATACGCCTTTTTTATCACCACCATTACATACGCCTTCTTGACCACCACCATTACATACGCCTTTTTATCACCACCATTACCTATGCCTTCTTTATTACCACCATTACCTACACCTTTTTTATTACCACCATTATATACGCCTTCTTTATCACCACCATTACCTTCATCTTCATTATCACTATAGAGTAAGAAAATTATACCCAAACCATTATTTTCGCCTCTTACCACTCAAATTTTAAAAAATAAAATTTATATACTTACTCGTAATTGTTTTTATTCAGTTGGGAGATTTTTATTTCTGGTTGGGCCTTACAACAGCATCAGAAAACTAGGGAACCAGTAAAACGAATTCATCAAAAACCTTCTTGAAACAATGTTTCATGCAGGAACGGCTAATCCAAGAAAAAAATGACAGCAGCAGAGATGAGAAGCGAACTGATGCAGCGAGTGCAAGAAGGAGAAATAGAAGAGGAAAGTGTACCAAAAGAAAGTACCATTGCAAATTGGATTACTTCTTTCTCACGAGGTTGGAAATATGCAATGGCACTTCAGGCAATGGAAGCAGCAAAACGCACATTAAAGATAGGAGATTCCTAGGAAACAATTTAGGAGGCTATATTTGTTTATTTTTAGTGTAAAAGATAAAATAAAAATACAATAAAATATCGAAAGTTATTTATATTTGAACCGTAAATCTGACGCGCGTACATAGTAAACTTTTTATTTTATATATGAAAATATGATTTTTTTTTTACAAATTCCTTTTCTCCAGGTTCCGTTTTAGTATGTCACGTGATTTTGTTTAATGTCTGTGCGTCATTAACGAAATATCCTATTTAGAAATTAACCCTTTTTTTAATATAAAAAAAGTGCCGATCTTAGACGAATCGGCAATTAATAAATATAATTTATATTATACCATAATTACAATATTTTAGAATTAAGTCTTTAACTTATCTACCTTTTCAAGAGGTATATCTGCAGCAGTTAATGCTTGAACAAGATCCAAATTTAATTGATCACTTTTAGATAAATGAGAAAAATTGTTTAAATTTTGCGAAGAATTATTTAAGTATAGATTTTTTTCTATGATTTAAGACTATTCGACAAACTCGGCACATTAATGAAGTGCCTTCAACATAAAATTCTCGTTCATATTCTGTTGTTGAATATGGACCTTGTATTCTATCATTTGCAGTAACCATTTTTTTTTTAATTTTTTTAACAAAATTATTGACGATTTTTTTTTTTCATTGAATTATTTGACTTTATAATTAAAAATGTTATTGTTAAAAAGTAAAAATTGTGGATCGTTAAAACCGTTATTTGTTCGTTTACTCAAATTTTTATTGTTTAATTGTTTATGTGATATAGCCAATCACATTACCAATAGATTCTGCGGATTCTGCTAAATCAGAAAAATATAGACATGCATATGTTATGCATCATTCAGATTTCCTTTATTGGCCTCCATTAACAAAATTTTGAAATTTATATACAATTTCTCTTTCTTTTATCTTCGAATTTTTTGAAAAAAAAAAAAAATCATACGAAATTATAACTTCTAAAAATATAATGTTCGTATTCGTGAAAACATTGACCGGAATAACCATGACTCTGGAAATTGAATCCAGTGACACCATCGATCAAATTAAAGCAAAAATCCATGATATAGTAGACCTTCCTCCTCAGAGTCAACGTCTTATTTTTGCTGGTAAACAATTGGATGGTGGTCGTACCTTATTCGATTACAAAATAAGAAATCATTCCACATTGCATCTTGTAGAAAGATTACGTGGTGGGATGTTCCAAGAAACCAGTGGCCGCATGGGATTCGAAGCATTGCCACCACTCACCAAAAACATGCAAATTTCCGAAAAAACTCTACAGGACGTTCCTGTTACCAACTCTTCAAAACTTCCAACCACAAAAGAGGAGTTGTTATCTCTACTACGTGAGGAGGAGCGGCGAAGGTTGTCACCTGAATTGCAAAAAAAGTATAAAAATGTTGGGAATGATCCTACATGTGGCAAGGATTGGATGGATGTGACTGACCAAATGCAACATGATTTGGTACGAGAATTTGGTTATTCGGATGAAGCTGTACAACTAATGCGTCGGGCCCCGCAAATTTATCAAGGTGATGAGCGCATTACATCCTTTATTGTCATTTTTAAAATGGTTTTCATTATATATGTTGAATCTGATTTCTTTTTCATTGTCATCAGACGATCCTGCATTTCGTACCACACAATTATATGTTCGCAATAACATTGCTCGTATTGGAAACCTTACTGAATAAATGACAGCACCTGATTGCCCACTGATTCCCCTAGATACTTCAACGTTTACAACAATTAATGAAAACTTCACGAGTTCACCAACTTCAATTTCTTTGCGCTCACTTTATCGACCAGGACGACCTCTCGTTATTCTCGGAGGATCATATACTTGTCCTTTATTCCGATACATAACCCATGTACTTAATGATATATATAGGCGATATCGAAATCACATTGATTTTTACATGATCCAAATTCGAGAAGCACATGCCAGTGATGTGTGGCCTATTGGTGAGATTTTATCCGTCAAGGAGCATCGCACATTATCCGACCGCATGACCGCTGCGACTGTAATGGTTAGAGAAACGCAGCTGGAAATTCCTGTGATGATAGACACAATGGATGACACTTTCTTAAAATTGTATGCGCCGTGGCCATTCCGTTTTTTTTGTGATTGTAGATGGTATTTTAAAACTCGTTGGGATGCCAAAAGAGGCGCGTTACGATACAACAGACTTAGTCGTGTGCTTGAACTCACTTTTGTATGGAGTAAAGTAATAAGATTTTGTAGTAAAAATAACTTTGTAAGTTAATTATAATTGATTAATATCTTTTCAGAATAGGCAGAATTTGATACTATGATTTTCCATGATGATCACTTACTGGGTCGATATGTATTTTCTCTTCTTGATAAATTTACTTCATTAAATTACTTATTAGAGACAAAACGTGTACTCATAATTATTCGTGGATATTAATCCAGTGTGGGAAGAACGAGAATCAGTTACTGACAAAGATAATAATGCCTTTTTTACGTAACAGGAGGAACTGGAATATGAAAAGATGGTGTTTAAACCAAATTTTAATGACATTAAAATCTCATCATTAAAATCGTATATAATGAAAATATCGAAAAATTCTTTTCAAATTCGAAAAATCTCTTGACATGTTCTATAAAATGATCACTATGTTCTTACTTAACCTAGGATTTTTTATCTTTACGCTAAAAAGTATTTTTTTTTTTCTTTATAATAATTTGTCCCTCATATAAGGTTAAAAGTGATATTTAAGAATTAAATCAACATTGACATTCAGAAAAGTATATGGAGGTCTATAGTTTCATTTCTCGGCACGTCGTTAAAGTTAAATTTTTAAACCGTTCTTATAAAGATTCGTTATTTTGAGGAGATCAGTGGAATAGAATTATTGAATGATAATACTCTTGTATGACGTTTGCTTATGTAAAAAACTTATCGATCCCTAAAGTTGTTCTAATACTGTTCGCTAAAACTATTTTGTTATTTTGTATGTGAGTGATAGCTTCTATTCGCTTTAGGTTAATTTTCAAAATGGTTAAAGTCTCACAAGCATTTTAAATGCTTTATATCATTTAACCAGAAGATTCATGATCAATAATATTACAGATAGTAAAGAATTTTAAATAACAGTAATATAATGGTTAAGCAAATGTGATTACTATTACTTTTAAAATTTACTAAAAGACTAACCTATTACAACATACAGTACTCGATTTTTGTACTTTTTTTTTTAAATTAAAGAATTCGATTAATAGCTAAATTCACATTTAATATAACTAACACGTGACGAAACTGTTAAATATAAATCTTTATTATTTTAATAAAAATTTTCACATGCTTTTTTCACACAGTCTACTCATGCCAAGAGAAAGAGAACTCACACCTTTCGAACGTGGTAAGGTTATTGGAATGAATAAAGCTGGAAAAAATCGGTTAACAATTAGTAATACTCTTAACATTCCTAAATCAACAGCTCGCGATATGATAAACCGTTATGCAATTTCTGGATCGGTCGTCCACATACACTTAATGATAATGATCAGCAACAATTACAAAATATTTTAAAGGAAAATAAATCATGCTAAATGTTTCATTAGAAAAAGTCATCATCAATCAGGATTCCATTCACGCATTGAAGCATCCAAACCTTTTTTTAACTTAATTACTACTTGTAAAACGATTACAATGGTGTATTATTGGTCAGTTCAAAAATGGAAACCGGTAATATGGAGTGATGAATCAAGATTTACTCTTTATTAAATATGGGGTAATGGAATAATGGTATGGGGCTGTTTTTTTCGGAGGACCATTGGTGGATGGAAAAATGAACTGGTTTGATTATATTCAAATTATAAACGACCTTTTGCTGCCATTAATCCATTCTCGATTTATTAATTCATGTAAAGCTTGTTCAATAAAGTTTAAAGCCTCGCTATTTCATTCATATAATGTGAAAACCATATTTGTATTTTTATTGTACCTTGTATTTTTAACCTTCCAAGATTTTTCAAACATTCTTTAACCTCTTGGCATCCATTCTCTATGGATTTCTTATACCAATAAATCACATTCTCAATATTATTTTCTGTTCCTTCCTCATACTGATCATATAAATATGCAAGTTATTTTTGTGCAGAACAATGTCCTTCTTTGGCGGCTAAAGTATATAAATCCAACGTCTTTTCTAATCGGCATCAACTACAATCCCGTAATCATAAAAAGATCCAACTTTATATCAAACATCCTTGATTAGCTGAAATTCGAATTCCGTTATCAAAATTTTACAAATCTGACTACTGTTTCATAAATTTCACCTAATTTATATATTGCAACTTTATTGTCGTCGTTTGCAGCTTTATGATACCAATAATTAACTATAATTAAATCATCACCAGAAAATTTTCAGATGTTGCCCTTATCATATAGTTCGAATCCCCTTTTTCTCTATTAATCTCCGTTCAAATTCCATTTACGTATAAATACCCAAATTGAAATTTCTTAGTTTGGCTGATTTTTTGATACTATGAGATCGCTTTCAACTCATCTATTTCAACACCACCATTTCCTAATATATAAATTCCTCAACATTATACAGACCAATTTCTTTACCATTTTCTGCCGCTTTATGATACTCTTTTCCGTTCCCTCTCCACGTTAATATGTATAACCAAGTTTATATTGTGCTACATCCAATCCATTTTCTGCTACCCATAGAAGAACTTTCTCCTTGCAAAGCAAAGGGATTTTCAAGTTCTGCTTCTTTTTGATATCAATTAGTCTGTTTTGAATATTTTCATGAATCGAGCTGGATTTTCCCTTTTTATAATTATTGATCAGTGAAAACGTTGCGTTGCATGCACTAGTGATACACTTTGGAGTAATTGAACTTTTATTGAATTGTTATTCCTATTAACTCAAGGCTTTAGCTTACATACGTCGGGTGAATAGGATTGTTTTGTAGATATAAGTTGATGCAATTAATACGTCACTCGCCACTTTCTGTTGATTATTATTAACAAATGTTTATAGCTGTAAGAAAAAAAAAGAGAAGTATATGAATTTAATAACTAAGTCCATTATACATTAATATTTAATAGAATAATGATGAAATTAACCAACGAGAACAGTGTATTATACAAGATTTTCACAACTGAGATAAGGTTCATTTTTAATAAAATTTTGATTCTAATCAAACCTTATTTCATTTATTTACTTAATAGCGTAGAAATAATGACTTTATTCGAGAACCAGTGTCAAAATTATCCAAGCCAATAACATCTATATTTTTACTGGGAGGAAAATTTTAAAACTTTCACATGGTTATGTGTCATCGAATTATTTGCTTAGTAATTGATGATTTCATATCGATCTAATGACAGGATAATTGGTTAAAATACCTTAATTACTAAATTTATTGCATTGAATCAAGAATTTATCTCCTTCGTATTACTCAGATTAGTTAATTCTACCGTATCATAGTTCAAATTAAAATAAAATTTGGTGAATTAAATGAATCATTGTTTCGTCATCATATTTCCCAGACTTTTGCTCGGTTAAATCATAGAACATAGTGTGACATACGAAAGTGTACCAGGATTCAGTTGCATTAGAGCCATTACATCCACCTAATTTCAGCAACCCTCCATTGCTCAAGTTTACTTCTAAGGGCTTTTGGGAATTTCGCGATTTAATGGTTACATCTAGAAAGAAAGGGTATGTTCACAAATAAATTTTTGATTTGTTTTATTTGTCATCTTTACATATCTTTAAAGCAAAAGCCAATATACCAGTAGTATAAGTAATATAAATTTATTTCTTGAATTTTTAACATTTCAACAAAGTCAAAGGGTAAAGTTTGTTGATATTTTTACACATATTCATATGGTTAGTTCAGTGCGGCCAGAATTAATGTGCGAGATATAGTAAATTATATTATCCAAATTAATCAAAATTTTCGGGTTCCGTTATTTTATTAATTCTATATATCGGTCACAGTTCAAGAATCGAGTTCTTAGAAATCCAACAACATCGTAACATCAATGTCAGGAAGGATACATCGTCCAAACTAATTAATGTCCGACACTGGTTTGACAGAAATGATACTTCGTTTTCTTAAGATTGTGCAAAGAATACAAGCTATTTATTTGTCAAAGAATCCATTTTCATGATTTTATTTCACTTTTGTTTAATATATAGACTATAATACTGAGGGCTGATATTTTTTTATCTGATTATAGGAGAAAATCCATTATAGAGCACAATTTTAAATAGCCAAATCGATACGACATAGAAATCGAAATGATGAATTGTAATTTACTTTAGATTACCTATGGTTTTGTTACAAAGTTATTAGCAAACGAAACACAAACTTAAGGAGGGAATAAATGAATTATAATTTCTTTTAAAAACTAATGCAAAAACGTGATCATATTAATCATACAAATATTTTTAATCTTAATTTCAAAAAAATACATACTAGTACAGAATATTTATTCTCTAAAACAAACAAACAAAAAAAACATACCAATATGAAAAGAATTAATTAATTTACAAAAAAAAAAAAAATGAATGAAAAAATACTAAGGAAATGTCTTGACGTCTATAATTATAATTTTAAAATCTTAATTAATCAAATTTTGAATTTTTAAAAATTTTGATCTCCCAGTCTCTTGATCCGAATTATCGGTATTACTGGAAGTGAATGATTGATGTTGAAATTCGTTCGTAACCCTCGTTTGTTGTAAATAAAAAGAATTTTGTAACGTCGCCATTGATGGTATCTCCGTTGGCCAAAGTAATCCCTCGTTATTTAATTGACTTGATTTACCAGAAAGTTCATTATGTATCAAAGTACTTATTCTAGAGAGTACTGCAAAAAAATTTCTTTTTTCAACGGATTCATTTTTCCATCTCTCCGAGCTTATCGTTGTGATGGCCTTTAAAGATGCATTTGGATGTTGTCGTAAGATTTCATTTCTAATATCTTTACGATACAGGAAGAAGCTATTTTGAGAATACATGATCCTTCCTTTATATTTACTATTAGGGGTACAAGGTGTCAACAGATCGATTAAAGGTAAGTTTGTTGGGAAATGGATGCCCTCTTTGGACATGGCATCCAAGTGTATGATGATTCGTTCTTTGATCTTATTTAGGTCAAATTTATAAGATTTGCGGTTGTTGACTTTTGGCATTTCTTTTAATAAAGAAGTATCAAAAAAAAAAAAAAAAATAATAATGTTAAAAATGTTCAAGTATGAAAATAATGAAAAGATGATGTGAAATTGTTGAAGGAAGGAAGCAAATGTACTTCATTTTATATAATTCTTACGAAATCGGTAAAAATGATTGTACCCATTCTACACAAAAAAGGGACGTTTTCTTGATAGCAAACAGGTTTTGAACAAAAAATGAAACAAAGCCAAGTCCGAACCGCCGAGCTCAAATTGTTTCAGTAAGGTTGACCGCAGCAATCAATTATTTGCAGATCAGACAATGTTGTAATACATGACAAAATGTTTCATAAATGATTCTTTTGGTTAAAATTAAATAAATCCGAGGGGTAAAATTAAATTTGATAATTAAATAGTTATATAGAATCAATTATTTGGAATGCAATGTAATGTAGCGCGTATCGATATATTTGGACTACGCAAATTTACATCATCGTATTGGATGAAACGTTTAAATAATTTGTTAACTAAAAGGAGGAACAAGAAGGTAATTAACTAAATCTACACACAATATGATGAAAAAAGTTAAAATATTGTGCGCACGGAAAGATTTTTTTTTTTTTATAAAACGTTTATAAAATATTTTAAAAATTTTCTATTATTCCTTATGATTTGGATTTTTGGTTTCAGAAATGAAACGACGATCACTTTTTTAACAATGGTCATTTATCAGGTGAGCATCTCCGAAATTTCCTTAGTTGGGAAAGTAAAAGGACCTCAACGTAATTTCCTTTTCGAAGAATACGTTATTCATTTTCCATCACTTTATCGCACCCGAGTCCAATGAAAATATTTGAATTTTTTTTTCATTAGAAATATTTAATTATTTATGTCACATAAGGAAATCCCACGATCGATCAATTTCTAGTTTTGTAGAAGAACGAGATATTTAATAATAAAGCGCAATATCCTTGTGCTTTAACAATTTTTACTATTTAATTGTTTCTTTTGGTTATGGTGGTAAAATATATGCACGTGAGTAACCATGTTAAATTAATCACAGCTTTTTTGTTGTTTTCTTTTTTTTTATTCTCTCGATCGCTAATTCGACTTTGGATAATCGAATGACATTCAAATTTCCATTCTTGGCTTCAAGTACAAATATATCTTTTTCTATTAAGAATTATACGTTTCAGTTTTTTTTTTATTGAACTCTAAAAAATGATCATCGGATGATTTTTTTTTTTCGTTATATCTTCAACTTTCCAAATTTAAACTAGTCGGTTTCCTTTTTCTTCATGAACCACATCTTGATTCGTTACAATTTAAAATAAAATTTGTTTGTCAAATTTTTCCTGTCTCACTAAACATTCACTAAACATTTTATCTTTTTTTTTATATATTTGAATAATTGTGTAAAAAAAAATTTAATAAAAAAAAAAATTAATATTATGCTCCATCAAAAATACACATTATTAAGAAGAGAAGGAAAAATTTTATAAGTTTCTATAATCGAGACGTTTCAAAAAATTTACTTCTTTATGGGGAATTAACTAACGAAGTATATGAAACGGAGACAAGGGATACATACACAGGTGTTACAAAAATAGGTGGCGCAGAAATAATAATTTTGGCTTTATTCAACCTATTTTAGGGGTAATGAATGTGTGAAGCAAATAAATATTTTTCTGGCAATTTACTTTTTTGTATACAGGGATACCCGTTGTCGGTCAATAGGGAATAGGGAACACGGATAATTAACGAATAATTCTAATAGAAAGTAACATATTAAAGACGAGACAAGGCACTTGATGATCTAAGCAGTTCCCGCACGGAACTTGTGTCTCAATAAATGCATATTACAACAATCGTTTGGCTGTAAATGGATTCTTTGTCACGCACTAGAACGCATTTTGTATTTTTCTAATTAAAAAGTTCTCACACATTCGACTTTAATATTTTAATATGCGTATGAATCATTCGTAATGTCGCATTTTACTTAAAAAAAAAAATAACAGCTAAGAAATTTTATTATAAAATTCCAAATATATATAATAACTTTAGAAAAATGATTTTTCAAAAAAAAAAAAAAAAAAAATTTTAATAGCGCAAAGCTTGCGTACTCACAAAAAGACATTTTTATTTTATTTTATTTATATCATGGGCTAAAATTTCGAAAGCATCATACACTAACTTAATTAGTTGAAAGATTATTCCTTGTTTACAACTTTTTCTTGAATTCTATTGAAAATTACACTAGCAGCATCCTCCCATGTAAGGTCCAACATAATTCTGTGAGCCGCACCTCCAATGATATCAAATCCAACACCATAAGCATCGGCAGTTTCTTTTATAATTTTTAAATCAAAAATTTTATCTTCTTCGGCACCAATCACAATCATAGGACATTTAATTTTCGAAGGGTCAACAAAAGGTTTGAGAAGTTCAATCAAAACAGTGACAAATCTATCCTTATAGAGTTTTGGATGAATATCCTTAGCCATAGAATCAGGAAATGCTTTAGAAAAGGAAAACCTTTTCATTAATTCGGGAGTTCCAACTAATGCATACAAGTTTAATGTAAATAACGCTTTAAGGATAACAAGAATTGGCGTATTTGAAAGTATTTTACGTGTATTTGAAGACGTCTGATTTGTAGATGTACGGTGAAAATGAGGCAAATAAAACACCACCCGCCACTTTCTGTTGATTATTTTTTAGATAATTTTGAACAATTCCTCCCCCATGTGAATGTCTAGCAAAGGAAAGAAAGAAATGAATTTATATCAAATTAAGAAAATATTATAAATATTGATAATAATTACCCAACGAGAACAGGTTTATCGTCAGTTCTAGCAATTATTGCATCGGTCACGGCTGATACATCATTTGTAATGTCATTTATTGACCACCATTTACCTTTCTTTGGAGTCTTTGTACTTTGTCCATGTCCTCGAAAACTAAAGATATCATTTTTAAAAAAAAAATTAAAGATTTTAATCAATTCTTTGTTTCGTGAAAATTTATTTACCTCATAGCGTAACAATCATGTCCTTTATTCGAGAACCAACGACAAAAATTATCCCAAACCCAAGCCGCAGAACCTAATCCATGAATGAATAAAATTGGTGGATGATTCTATAATAAACTAACCCATTGAAATCTTTTGTATTAATTAATTTAGGATTAAGAATAATTATCATTTATTGCTTACCGATCTTATATTGGCGGGAGGATAATGTATGACTTCAATTTTTATACTTTCACTAGAATCAACGAAAAAGGTATCCTTTTCTGTGTAATATTGATCTGAAGACATTTTAAAAAAAGAATGAATGGATTTATTGATATATTTTGTTTAATTAATGTTTTTTTTTTATGAAATGATTCTCACTTATTTATATACCTGTATTTTTTTTTTTTTTGATCGACATTTTGGATAATTTATATTACTATAAACAGAAATTTCCCGCCTTTTTTTTTTTTCATTTCCTTTACAACCATCAATGGAAAATTTAATAAGGATCCTCTCCGAACTAACACTTCATATACCAATCTGAATTTAAACTACAAAAATATTTTCGTTGGGTTAATATTATAATGAAAAAAATACAATTGTACAGTAATCCATATTTCCTAATAAAAATGATCAATACAGAAATTTTTTATTGATTGAATTTCTTAAAAAACCAATAAATATTATTTAAATCATTGAATACCGCTTCATTCCACAATTCCAACTATTTCAGTACAGCCATTCATTTTTGTTAAGTGTTGATGTTCAAGTTCTATAATTTTCAACTCTGAACCTTTTAATCTAAAATTGAAATTAATGATTTAGACGCATGTGCTTAAATATACAAAGTGAAAAGTGAGTTAACTCATATGGGAGGTAAGCTATTAAAATCATGTTACGAATCATATGATTTACTATGTTTGTAACTCGATTTTAATAATTTTAATAGCAAACCTCCCATATGAGTTTAAATATCCAATATACATCAGAATAAATTAATTAAGGAAGGTTGAAAGAAAATTTTATTAAATGATCAATACTAGATCATGAAACCTTTCTTACATTGTTCCTAAGTCTATATTAACATGACGAAAGATTATGTTATATTGCGTGGATTTAATATATTTTAACTTGTACTGAAGTTATGATAGCAAAAGTTTTTGTATGATAACCTACTGTATAAAATAAGAATTATCATTTAAATATATTTCTTTTTTTTATTTATTTACCTTAAATTTAACCAATAAAACGTCCAAAAGTGATCACTGGATGTCTTTCGGACAAATTGTCTTCTGGTCAAAATGTTCACTAGCCAGTATGTTCTCCAGTTATCTTTTTCCCTGAGAAAATTGATAAATACAATGGTTTTCTGAAAGAAGAGTGATTCAAAATTTTAAGATTTTTCTTAGATTAAATTTGAGGAGAGCGCCAACGTCGAGGCAGTACTTTGATAAATTGATTATGTTAAATAATTTTTACAACACACTAACCCTAACTTTTAAAATTTACATTCCTTTGTTTAAAAAATAAACGTTAAATATTAATTATCTAGTTGAAATTTTTACCTAAATGCTGAAAATATATTTGATGTGCTGTGCAATTAAAAGAGAGAAAGCAGAGGGAGGTGAATTACGAAACCATTAACATTCAAATTGTAAACATGACTAATGATTTTGATTTCATTTGACCTTTATCTAGCTAGTTTATTAGCGATGATAACTTATTAAATCCAAATAACTATATTTGAATAAATAATTCTTTGTGGTAAAAAACGTTTAGTTTCAAAATAACCAATCATATTTCTTATTGCAAATACTACATTACTGGTTATTTCTCTTATATTATCAAACTTTCTGCTATATCTTGCTAAATTTAAAGTAAAAAAAATTAAATATTCAAAAATATAATGGGTTGGTTAAGGGATAAAATATAAATATATACTTTTATACCTTGATAATTTTAACTTAATTATAAATATCCTTACAAAAAAAAGTCCTAAAAACGTTCTAGACACTTTTGATATACTGTATTTTAAACATCGATTGCGTTTCAACATATGCAGTTAGGCACAGAGATTTGGACCAAATTCGGTATATATTTGTTAGACTATATAGTCGAATTGTAAAACAAATCTTTAAGTAAGTATAAAATGAAAAAATTATTAAGAAGAATACTTATTATTTTATTAATTTTATTATGCATAATAGTATTATTCAAAATCATCCATATTTATCGATCTTAAGAATTTTAATATGTCTAGTTCACAGTTAATATTGGGTTCGAATGATATTATTAATAATGTAAAATTATAATATGAAGATGTTCCAAAGAAATATTGTAATTATATTGAAAGTATCCGTATAGACTCGCATAAATGAAAGCATCTATGTTGTTGTATTCAGTTCGTTCGTTCATGTTTATAAACAATTGTAAAAAAAGGTAACAAAATGTTAAATTAAGCAAAAATGATGTTAATATTATTATTCAATAAATTTAATATATCAAACTACGGTCAACACTTCCGAAACTTAATTTTATTTTTCTAATTAATTCAAACTGCGAAAAAAAGAAAAAAATATCGGAGAAATAAGAAAAAAATTAATATTGTGAAATTCACGAAGTTACAAAGCAAAGTTACAACGAAAAAATTAATGTTAAAATAGCAAAATGAATAATTCGCAAGGTGAAAAGTATCCGGAAGTATCAAACTCGAATCTAAAATAGAACATATAGTATTCAAAAGATAAATTTAGAAGTAACCAACTCCATTGTGTAAATTCCTTGTAATGTTGTTATTTTCCTACGTATTTTTTCGATTTTTTTCGATTTATAACGATTGAAGAAAGGTTTAATTTACCGAGATAAAATTTTGTGAACAACACCCTGCCTTGATTGAACTTGATTGAAGGATATAGTTGCCTGGCTCTCGGGTTTCGACGGGGTCACTGGAAAAACAAAAATTAAATCTTATTGACAAAGCCGTTGAAACTCGAAACCTCATCAAAAGTCAAAACTGTATTAACAAATCCGTCAAAATATAGGGTTTCTATTTGTTAAAATGAGTTTTGCAAGGCAACTATATTAAAAGGTCTTCTTTCTGAAGGTAATTAGACCATAGGCTTGATAAAAAAAGCTTAGCATGGATGTAACACAATTATGATGCATGAATTTCGTCACAAAAATAAATATTTATTCATTGCAAAGTAAAAGTTTTTCTTTTAAAAATTCGATCGACAAGGTGTCTGTTCATTACTTGACAATAGTTTATAGAAAATCGTAGCAACTCGCAAGAAAAATGAAAATAAAATGGATAAAAAATTACTCTTCTTGGAGGTATAGATAATTTTATTTCATCCAAATTTTCAATGTAAGTGATATAATCTACATATATTTGTAAATTTCGAATGAGATCATTTCTCGTCACAATATCATAAAGTTCTGGCAAAAGTTTAAACATTTACGTGAAAAAAAGATTAAAAGTAAAATAAAAACCAATTATTTAAAATATATTAGAAAGGATTCAAATAAGAGGTTGATTTTTGTATTTTTGAACAATTCTTGATGAAAAGGTATAAAAACAATTTTGAATTTGTGCTTCGAAGTGAAGCGCCAAAATAAATTATCTTTTGTAATCTAGACCAGACAGAATTTAATTCTATTGAATATGACAAATTAAATTCCGATATTTTATTTTAATATTTTGATAAAAACCATTGGGTTTACTCATCAGTTGATGTAAAATGCAATTAGTGATTCAATTTAAATCATTAAGAGCATAAGAAAAAATTTGATTAATATTTAAAGTAATATTAAAAATTTGTAAAGTAATCGTAACAAATTTTCAGACATTCGCTTATTAAAAGGGATAAAACATAAATTATCGGGATTTCTTAATTAGCAAACTGTCAAAATTCGAACCATAATTAAATCCTGTCAAAGTCAAGACTATATTAAAGTCTTATTAATAAATCCGTCGAAATATGGTTTCGACTTTTGCCATTTGCTTAGCAAGTATTTGAGATTTTAAGAATCCAGGGTAGATATACGTTAAAGAATCGGGTAAATTTGGTAATCTTTTTATTTGTGTACCGAAACACTCGAGATTTGTTAAGGAGTTAGGTAAAGTTGGTAGGATAGTTATTGGAGAATAAGAGCAATAAAGTTTCGTTAAGGAGTTGGGTAAAGTTGGTAGGATAGTTATTAGAGTATAAGAACAATTGAGTTCCGTTAAGGAGTTGGGTAAAGTTGGTAAGCTTTTGATTTGAGTTTCATAGCAATAAAGTTTTATTAAAGAGTTGGGTAAACTTGGTAAGCTTGTAATTTTAGTATTACAGCAAAAGAATTTCGTTAAGGAGTTGGGTAAATTTGGTAGGATAGTTATTGGAGTATAAAAGCAATTGAGTTCCGTTAAGGAGTTGGGTAATGTTGGTAGAATAGTTATTTTAGTGCTATTACACCAGAGTACCGCTAAGGAGTTGGGTAAAGTAGGTAGGATAGTTATTGGAGTATTAGAGCAATAAAGTTTAGTTAAGAAGTTGGGTAAAGTTGGTAGGATAGTTATTCGAGTACTCTGACAATCGAATATCGTTAAGGAGTTGGGTAAAGTTGGTAGGATAGTTATTCGAGTATAATTGCAAAAGAGTTTAGTTAAGGAGTTAGTTAAAGTTGGTAGGATATCTATTGAAGTATAAGAGCAATTAAGGTTCATTAGGGAGTTGGGTAATGTTGATAGACTATTTATTGGAGTATAAGAGCAATTGATTTTATTTAAGGTGTTGGGTAAGGTTGGTAGGATAGTAATTTTAGTTCTATTACACTTTAGTACCGTTAAGGAGTTGGGTAATGTTGGTAGGATAGTTATTCGAGTACTCTGACAATCGAGTATTGTTAAGGAGTTGGGTAATGTTGTTAGGATAGTTATTGGGGTATTAGAGCAATCAAGTTTAGTTAAGGAGTTGGGTAATGTTGGTAAGGTGGTTATCTGAGTATTATTACAGTCGAGTACTTTTAATTTACGATATCTTTGTAATCCTCCTAAGGCGTTTAATATGTCATCCTTATTAAATTCAGTAATCGTTATGCTTTCAATAGTATCGTCATAACTATCTTCAATATTTGATTCTAATTCTTCTACATTCATCTGGACAGCCAAATGATGAATAATTTCGGAATTATTTGATACATAATTAAATCGAAATGTTTCTCCATATGAATTATTTATAATAGAAGGAGCTTTGATATTATCCAAATGACGTTGTTGCTGAAGATTTGATTCATCATCATCATTTATGTTATTAGTTATC